ACTTCCTGTTCTTGCTATATCTAGACAGATCGAGTGTTGTGAAACAGCAGATGAATTCTACAGCACCATGGGGCGCCTTACCCAGGAAATGCTAGATCATGACCTTCTGGAAAGCCATGAACTCATGCAGGTAGGTGGCCAGTGTGGCCCAGTCTTGGCTCACAGGATTTGTGTACTGAGGGAGCATCCCGTACTGGAGCTGTGGTCTTGAGATCTGCGTTTGGTGTCAGGTTTATTTTTCTAGTTGAGCAAGAGGATATGTGTGTGTGTGTGTGAATACATGTGTATACACACACACACACACACACATATATAATTTGATAAGAATTCAGTAATGCCAAAAAAGGAAGAAATGAATAGTGGATATTGAGATTTTCATCAAACTATGTATACTGCACATAGAAATTACTAGGCACACAGGCCAGTTGTCCTTGTATAGGGACGGTCTGAATTAGTACTGGGTGCAAGTAGCTCTTAGTTGTCCCATGACAGAAATTTCTTCCCTGGCTTTTTGAATGTTGATGGGGGTCTTCTCCCTCTCATGCATCATTTGTAATTTTACCCTTATACAAACATGATCTTATCCTTCCCACCTTAGTGTGATTTGTCTTTCATTATTTTCCGTTGGGTTTCCCAGCTGTGAAGCACAGGAGGAATATGGATGTATAAGGATAATAGTTACAGGGAATATAGGGTGGGGTGGGTGATAGGGAGGGAGTGGGGAATTCAGTAGTAAACAATGAAGGCGGGAGGCGGAGGGAGCACTACATCTGATTGGACTACGCAGTTTAAAGGATATGACGATGGTGGGGGTGGGGCGGTGCTCTAAGAGAGACGTGGTGGTGATTGTACAACTCCTCTTGATGTGATTGAACTGTTCAATTGTATGATATGTGAATTAGGTGCCAATAAAAGTATTGGAAAAATAATAAAATAATTTGTTCCAAGACAAAAAAACTACCAGGTATAATACAAAAATATATTTCCAAACAATTAGGGGGGAAAAACTAACAAAAAATGCAAACCACTAGATGCTTATTCTGAATCGGGTTCTTATTTCCCCTGAGGAGGAAAGTAGCTTGAATCTTTTATTGTTCATGTCAAAGTGCTTAGTCATTTGCTTATTTATTATTTTGAAAATCATTTTACTGGGGGCTCTTACAGCTCTTATCACAATCCATACATCCGTCCATTGTGTTGAGCACATTTGTACATATGTTGCCATCATCATTTTCAAAACATTTTCTTTCTACTTGAGCCCTTGGTATCAGTTCATTTTTTCCCACCCTCCACCACCCACCCTCCCTCATGAACCCTTGATTTATAAATTATTATTATTTTGTCATGTCTTACACTGTCCGATGTCTCCTTTCACCCACTTTTCTGTTGTCCTTCCCCCAGGGAGGGGGGTATATGTAGATCCTTGTGATCAGTTCCTCCTTACTTCTCCCATCTTCCCTTACCCTCTTGGTATCCCTACTCTCATTGGTCCTGAGGGGTTTATCTGTCCTGGATTCCCTATGTTTTGAGCTCTTGTCTGTAGCAGTGTACATGCTATGGTCTAGCCAGATTTGTAAGGCAGAATTGGGGTCATGATGGAGGGGGAGAGTATTAAAGAACTAGAGGTGTGTTGTATGTTTCATCGGTCTATACTGCACCCTGGCTGGCTCGTCCCTTCCTTGTGACCCTTCTGTGAGCGGATATCCAATTGTCTACAGATGTGAATCAGATTCTTGACTATGTAGGGAGACTTTTGTAGGATGAGAGCAATTTTTTAGGAGGAATTATTACTATGTTAATTAGCATTTTGGTTTATTTGACTTTGCTCACGTATTCAACACACATTCTACATATATTACTAATAAATGTCAGTGTGCAAGACTTCAAGAATTTATTTTCTGACATGTTACCATATCGCAATATCATACTCAGTCATTACAATTGGTGGTGAATATCGAATGAATAGTAGATTGCTTACCTCTCTCTTCTAGTAGGTTCTGTAAGATAATTGTCTCCTCGTTCTTGTCCTATGCCTCGGACTGTTGCTGCTTTTCTTGGCTCTCCTCGCTCACCGGATCTTGTCCATAAGTCTGTCTTGGGCTTTATCTTCCTCTTTGTGACCTTGTTCTCCTTTCCCTTGGATTCACTTTTCTTCTTTCTCTGGGGCTCCATGCCTGAGGTCGTTTGGGGCACTGGGACTCGGTCAACAGATTAGAAAAATTGAAGACGAGAGTCTGATTTGGGGTTTGAGACCCAAGGTGCTTCTGTTCCTTTGGTCATCGTCTAGCACCCCCGGCTCTTTTCTCTAAACACATCCTCTTAGCAGTGAGAAAGAGAAAGGCCCTCAGCGAGACGGACGGACACAGTGGCTGCCACCGTGGGCCCCAGCCCAGGAACCCTTGTGCGGATGGTGCGGGGCGGCAGGACTTTGTTCTGTTGTGCAGAGGGGGGCTGTGGGTTGCAGGCGACTCGGGGCACCACCACCAACACTCCATTGAGTGAGGATGTTGGCCCCCTTGCATAACTTCTCTGAGCACTCATGTTTTTCACTTCTGAGTGTTCTCT